GAATCTCAGTGTTGTTTTAATTTACATTTTCAGCTGTGCAAAGAACTCTTGGAGAAGGTGGAGAGAGAACTGGTTTACGATGAGAGGCAGCATAGCCTAGTCATAGGTGTACAGGCTCTAGACTCAGACTATCTTTGCTGAAATCCCAAGCCCACTACTTAGTATCTCTATGACCTTGGACAGGCTGCTTAAGTTCTCGCTGCCTCAATTTCTTCATTTATAACATGGGAATAATAATAGTGCCTACCTTGTGGGTTTGTTGTGAAGAGTAAAGGAATCAATACAAGTAATATGCATAGAGTAATGTCTGGTTTAGAGTAGGTACTTAAGAAATGCTAGTTATTATTACTTCCTAAGACATCAGCCAGTGTGCCTCCAAGACAGCAAGCATGGGAACTCACATCACAAGTGCACTATATTTTTCTCCCGAGGAAAAAATGCAAAGCGTGTTTTCCTTGACTTATGGAGTGCATGTGTATTGGCTAAAACAAGAAAGAAGAGTCATAAAAGGCTACTAAAATGGAGATGGGAAGAGAGAGAAAGAAAGATTGGGCTGAATTTTATAAAGGGAAGGAATAGTAAGAATAATAACTTATTTATGAAATATAGGGAAACTAGAACTGGCATGAAAGGTGAATACTTTGAGATGAATACTTAAGCAGATGGTCACTTGACTGTGCTCCCAAAGTGAGTGGCTCAGTCCCTGAGCTCCTTAGCTCAGGAGTATGGAGAGCAACTGGATGAAAGTTACAGTTAGAGTCCAGAGTGGTTAGGGATATTTCTGATAGAGCCCTAAAGTTAGTCCAACCGAGTCTTGTAAGTAACTCATATTGTTGTAGTACTTTATAAAACGTTAAAGACAGCCTGAACTTAATAGGATTCTCATAATAATCATTTACTGAGCTTCTACTTTGGGCAAAGCTCTCCTGGGAATTAAAAGAGAGAAAGATGGGTTGTGTTGAAATTTCTGCTTTGTATTGCCACCCAGAAATACTAATCAAGTTATTTAAATTGAAGACTTAATATATTTGATTAACTTTTACTTACAATACTTTGAGTTCACCACTGATAATGTGAAGAATCTAAGGAAATGGAAGTTCTCTTTTTTCTTATTGTTTTGTTCTTATAATTCTACTCTTATGTCAATAGAAAATTACATCCTTTTATTTCTTTTTCTCTTTTGGCGTCCTAGAGATTGAGCCCAGGGCTCTGCCAATGCTAAGTATAGACTGTACCGGTGAACCATACCTCCAGCCTCTTATTTTTAGACTAGTTATTTTTAAAATACAGTTTTAGAGTGACAAGTTAGTTTATTCATTCTCTTCAGCCCTGGGTTCTAGTCTTCTGTATTTTCTTTCTTATTAAGCTGTTTCCTCCATGATCAGGATAATTGTAGTTCAGTTGTTTCTGTATACAGACAGGCTGAAATGTGTTATGTTTTATCTCAGATTTCCTAGAACGAGATTTACTATGAAGTCAGTGTAGTTGCAGGCAGGGTCCATCACTGATATGTTTGGATGGGGAGAGGAAGTGAGTTTGCAATGTCAAACACTTCTGTAAACACTTTTGGTCAGTAACCTAAAGGCATAATGTAAGAGATTGTCTTAACTGTCATTGACTCCAGTAATTTGTTGTAAACTTCTGACTTTATATTTTTAATTTTGTATTTTATTTTAAAGAAGTATTCTCCTTCAAGATTATATATGTTTCTGGTCCTAGATTATATTTATATTTCTGAGCCCACGAAGCCTAGTTCTGCTTCTGATATCCAATGATGTAATCAGTTGGGAATTTCATTTAACTATTTAAAATTTTTATTTTAAAATTAATCTTATTAGTTTTTAAAATATATTTAAATTTTGTTTCAAATGAATTTAAATTTTTATTATAGTAATAAAATAAAAGGTTGTGTTAAAATGTTTTAAACAAATAGTAGCTGCTTGACTCAGATTTTTCTCTCTTGATTTGCTCTTCTATATCCTTCAGGTGTAGCCCTTTTAATTCCTTCAGATGTTTCCCCTAATGTTTACCTTTGTATTATTTTTTTAATAACTGACTTTCTTAATTGATTAGTTTCAGATATTATATATTGGGTTCCTGAATTAATAGCCAAGGATTTAACTTTGTTACTCCAAACACCCCTTTTCTGTCCTCTCATTTCCCCAAAAGAGTTAAATCACAATTTTTGTTACCTCAAGCTTTAGTGTTATTACTATGATGATTGTGTAAGAATAGCAAAAGCAAGTTTTCTTTGTCATCCCTTCTTATAGAGTTTGTCCAGGAGTTAGCAGTTATTTTATTTTTCTTTTGGTTAGTTTTTTGTATATATGTCTGAATGAACTGCTTTTCCTTTCTTTTTATATGACTTTTTGTTTTCCCCAGAGTTTATAATTGCTTTGTTTTTTTCCTTTGCTTCATTTTCTATATATCTAGCTAAATACATCATCAGAACTACCAACTATCGATCCTATCAATGTTATTTATGGATGTGGTCCAGCATATCTCCCAAGTCTTTCCTTCTTTTTTGTTCTCCTAGAAGCTTTTCTTTCATAATCACTTATTCTCCTGCTCCTATATGGACTGACTTTTTACCTAGTGCCTGAAATATCATGCTAAGCTTTTAGTGAAGATATTTGGTGAGAATGACTTCCAATGGGTTCTTTCTAAATCTTAGGGAATTTTCCACACTTTATACAAGGTATGATTGAAAATAGAGTGTTTAAATTAAAATTTATTACAGTAAAATACACATTGCCATTAATTCCCCTCAAAGTACTCCCCCTCACTTAGAACACATTTATCCCATTGTTCTTGTCACTTTCTGAAGTAGTTGTGGAAGTCCTCTTTACTGAGTGTTTAATTGTACTGTTGTGATTGACTTGCTGTCCTGAATTAATTCCACATATGTACCTTCCATGATCATTTTGATTTTGGGGCAGAGCCAGAAGTTGCATGTTGCCAGATCCACTGCATAAAGTGGATGAGGACACACTGTAATGCTTTTATGTACCTGTTTTTACATTGGATGGCACTTGGCAGCAGCATTCTCTGTATTTTTTATCACATCTTGTAAAGACATGCATGAAAGAGAACTTCCAGAACTGCTTCAGAAAGTGGCAATTGTGATGGGATGAGTGTGTTCAAAGCAAGGGAGAGTATTTTGTTTTTTGGGGGGGATTAATGGTAATGTGTCTTTTACTGTAATAAAAGGTTTAAAATTTAACCATTCACCATATATTTTAAAGACTCACAGTTTTATATAAACAAATTCTGAAAATATATTTTAAGTGCCTGATACAGTACATGGCCTGCCTTCATTTTCTAGTTGACTATGCCAAGTTTACATAATAAAGTGAAGGAAATAATCCTAAAGATGGATAAAGTACCACATCTGGATATACCCTGAAGTGTTTAGTGATTAAAGGTCGGGCTTCTGATGTATATTTCAACTCCTATTTCTCAACAAGTTTATTAACCTTAGAGTAAATTACTTGAATTATGAATCCAGGTAATTAGTAAGAATAAATTCCCAATTTCTTATTATTCTCAGAATCACAGTGGTACTATCTGTGAGTTTTAACATAGAGAAGTTAAATATAATTTAAACATACATTATATATTTTCAAAGCATACAAAACTTGTTTTGTATACTTTTTATTATTTGTACACTAAAGCATTCCTTAACAAGAAGTTAACTACTACTTCTATCAATGGCTTTTTCCCCTTAGTGCTTTGAATATACAGAGCATTTAGTTATTTTTTACTGTGCACTTCCAAAGCAGGCCAATGGCATTATTTTACTTTGCTAAGGTAGAAATTAAGACCATTAAAATTAATAACTAAGCTGTCTTAAGAGAGACTTCTTACTCCTCTTTAAGGGAGGATTAGTGTTTTCCTAGATAACTCACCATGTAAATCCAGAAAGACGCTGATTCATTGGAGGAGACATATTTTTCTAATGCATTTCCATATATTTTGACACTGTGCTTTTTTGTTGAAAGTCAAATGACTTATTCATTTCAATTCTTATAAAACATAGACCATTATTTTCACTTGATTTATTTTCACTTATTTCCTAAGAACATTGTCAAAGAAAAATGTGTTTTTAAACGCTTAAGGCCTTGGCTGGAACACCCGGGGCCCCATAACCCTTACAAGCAGAGATTAAATACTGTATGTCTGATCTGGTCCTTCATTCACAATGCACTCCTCTTGGAATGCCCCTGGCCTCTGCCTGGACCTGTAGCTTTGAAGCCATTGCACATGTCAGGATGTGCTGCTCCTTCGCCCTTCCTGTTCTGTCCTCAGGAGTGTTGTCTGCTTCAAGCTGTGGACAAACATAGGAGTGGCAAATGCTTTGGGTCAGGTGTGGTCTGCCCTGATTGTCTGAGATCCCTGCCCCAGGCCCCAGACTTGAGTGGTGGCGGGTCACTTTGAGGAAAGGGTGGAGACAGAGATATACTTACTAGAGATAATGGCAGGATTCCTGGCTATTTATCAGAGGCAATTGCCTCTGCTTTCCTGTTTGATGAGCCAGGACTTTTACAATTGAAAGTATATTTTCTCATCTGTCCACTTAAACTCAAGTGTAGACAGGGTGTTAGTGGGTTATTTGGTACAGTAACTTATTTTCATCAGTGTTGTAGGATTTCTAGCCCAACTGCAGGTTATAGTGTACCTGATTGATTTGAAACTTATTCTTTAGGACTGCTAATCCATTTTCCCTGCACTTTTGGATACTTTAAAATGAATTATTTTCCTACTTACATGTATTCATTTTCTTTTTTTTTTTTCCTGTACCGGGAATCCAACTCACGACCTTGTACTTGCCAGACAGGCACTGTGCCACTGAGCTAAATCCCCAGCCCCCTACTTACATGTATTATATAGAGGGGATTCCTGGCACTGGCATTTACTTTCTAACTACTGGAAGCTTACCAAAATTAAATACATTTACTTAATCAATTGACTATGAAGACTTACTTTTTTTCCTCAGTTAGATTCCACATCACGTCTCTCTGATGAACAGTTAAAGTGTCTTCTGGATAAGTACACATTCGAACAGAAATCCATCGCTGGATGGATTTCCAAAAAAGAAAATGAAGGCATTGAGGATAAGACACCTGACTTCCCCCAACTTTCCGGATCTGTCCTGTCAGAGTTACTAAATGGATCAGAAGCAAAAGTCCAGAATACAGAGGTGGAAGATGGAAACATGCATGAGAATGCAGAATGTGAAGGTTCTGTGGGTTATTACCTCACTAAAGCCTTGGCTGGGCATTTTATGTCAGAAGCTTTTGTCATCGAAGCAGAGAAAATGAAGTGCCACCAGTTTTCCAAAAACGAGGTTTTTAGTGAAACAGAAGACTATTTTATGTCAAAGACTGTTGGCATCGGGAGATTGCAGAGGCCCTCTTTCTTGGATGATCCACTGTATGGTATCAGTATGAGCCTTTCATTGGAAGACCAGCACCTGAAACTCAGTCCTCCCAAGGAACCAACACCAGGTGAGGCTTGGAGAATATATATTTTGGGGAATAATTCAGCGTGGCAACTCAGTACAAAGATATGATTTGACGTAGAGCAGGGGATAAAGATATATTTGCAAGACACAGTTGAGAGCAGTAAGTGCTTGGACATAAGAACATATTTATCAATGTTCTTATGAGAGCAAGGTTCAGATTAGTGCTCTTATGAAATGCATTATTCTTGAAGATAATTCTGTCATCTGGAAAACAATGTTGATTTCAGAGAAAGTAGTTTGAATGGGAACAAATAATTGGAGCAGATTTGCTTCATGCTTTGAATTTTCAGCTTTAGTGGTGAAAATTTGTCTCTAGGAATGAATTTGCAAATTGCCATTATCGTCATGGTTTTATCAGTTTCTGCATGCAAAACTTCCTGTCCAGCCCACTCCTGTATCCTCAGGTATTTTTTCATGATCCAATGTAGCTTCTTACAATGGTACAACTGTCCAAGATTCAAATAAGATAGGCAGTTTTTGACATAACAAAATATATAATTATTTATCTATGTTAGAAGTCTATTTCAAAATTCATGAGTCTATTTAAAAAACCTCAACTTTTACTTCTAATGTATATTACTTTAGAATATATTGCCTTTTAAATCTACAAATCTAGTTTTTCATCTGTTTCCTTTTAAGTCTATAAAGTATTAATTTCAAACTCTTCAGTCCCATATTTTAGACTTTCAATTTCTGTTTCCTCAATCCTGTAGCCTCAAAATTTGAATCTTTATTGAATTAGCCCTCTCCCTTGCTTTCCACTTCTAACTTTTGGGTACTGTTTGGTGTACTCCTACAGCATCACTCATACCTGTTCCTTGTCTCTTCCTGTGACATTTGGACCAGTGTGATAATCCTGTGGAAGCTGCCTTGCTTCTTGTCTTTTCCCTCCCTCTGCCACTAAGCTGATTGCTCAGGGTACAGCTTTCATAACCACACTTCCCATCTCCAAAACGTGTGACTCTCCATTGCCTATGGAATGAAATCTGAATGCTTTCTACTTGCTCTTGAAGGCCTGTAGAGTCTATTCAGAAGTTCTCTTCTTAGTCTCTGATTAGTCACCTAAATGTTACTCAGGAAATTACTAATTTTGTCCCTGGATTTCCAGAGCTTTCCCATGCTTCTGGTGTACAGGCCCCTTTCTTCACAGGAATGTTTAGGTGCTCCTTTAACGTTATTAAATTCCAATTCCACTCTCACTGAAGGTGACTTTTCTGGCCCACTCTCCTAACACTTTTATTTCTGCTCTCAGTGTTCAAGCACACTGGTTCTCTGTTGTATCATTTTACACATTCTGCCTTGATATATTCACATACACATCTACCTTCTCTTCCTTTGAATCGTGTAACTAAAAGAACAGATTACTGTGAATATGGTGCAGGGAACATGGGAGTGCAGATGTCTTTTCGACATACTGACTTCAATTTCTTTGGATATATGACCAGAAGTGAGGTTGATGGATCATATGGTGGTCTTGGTTTTAGTTTTTTGAGGAACATCCAACAGTTTTTTACATGGATATATAATTTACATTCCCACCAACAGTATGCAAGGGTTCTCTTTACTCCACATCCTCACCAACACTTTCATCTTTCAAATAACAGCCATTCTAACCAATGTGAAGTGACATCCCATTGGGGTTTTAAGTTGAATTTTCCTAATGATTAGTGATGCTGAGCATTTTTTCATGAGCTCCTTGACCATTTGTATATCTTTTTTTTTTTTTTTTTTGAGAAATATCTGCCCATTTCTGAAAATTAGATTTTTTTTTCTATTAGGTTGTTTGGGTTTCATCTGCATTTTGGACATTAACCCCTTATCAGATGTATGGTTTTCAAACATTTTCTCCCATTCTGTGGGTTGCCTCTTTGTTTTGTTCTTTACTTCCTTTGCTGTGCAGAGCTTTTTAGTTTGATATAACCTCGTTTGTCCATTTCTTTTTTTGTTGCCTGTGCTTTGGAGGTCATATCCAAAATATTGTCCTCCAGACCAATGTCATATAGTATTTCTCTTATATTTTATTTTGCTAGTTTTATAGTTTCAGGTATTATATTTAAAGCTTTTTTTGAGTTGATTTTCATATGTAGTAAAAGGATCAAATTTCATTTTCTACTTGTATATATGTAGTTTTTCTGGTGCCACTTATTGAAAGGACTGATTTTTCTCCTGTCGTGTATTCTTAGAACTTTTGTCAAAAATCAGTTGATCAGAAATGTATGGATTTGTTTCTGGGTTTTCTAACCTTTCTATTAATTGATGTGCCTGTTTTATGCTAGTACCATGTTGTTCTGATTGCCAGTGTTTTATAAAATATTTTGAAATTAGAAAATTTGGTGTTTCCAGCTTTGTTCTTTTTGCTCAGGAGTGTTTTGGCTTTTCAGAGTCTTTTACAGTTCTAGAGGAACTTAAGATTGTTGTGAAAAGACATTGGAAGTTTGCTAGAGATGGCACTGAAGCTGTAGATCACTTGGGGTTGTACAAATATTTAACAGTATTAATTCTCTAATCCATGAGTATGGAATTACCTTTTTATTTATTGATCTCTCCAATTTTGTTTTTTGTTTTTTTGAGACAAAGTTCAGGCTGGCTTTGAGTTCACTTTGTAGCCCAGGCTGGCCTTGAGCTCCCAATGATCTTCCTGCCTCAGCCTCCTGAGTGCTGGGATTACAGATGTATGCCAACATACCTGGTCTCTTCAATTTCTTTCATCAGTCTTTTTGAGTTTTTGATACACAGTTCTGTCATTTTACTTGTTAAATTTACTCCTAAATATTATTTTTCATGCTGTTGTAAATGAGACTGTTTTCTTAGTGGATATGTTCATTATATATGTAGAAGTGTTACTGATTTTTGTGTTAACTTTATATGCTGTAGGTTTACTGAATTTATTATTAGTCCTAACAGTTTTTTAAAAATTGTTTTTATTTGAAAGAGAAAAGAACAAAAATAAAATAACAAAAACAAAGACAAAAACAAAACAACACAAAAACTATAAAAACAATTCAGAATTTCAAAACAAGATGATAGGAAATCAACAATGGTTGTTGTATTACTTACTGTTATCTTCAAAGTAGTTGCTCAGATTACCAGATATAGGCATGCAAGATTGATCAAACAATTAAACATTAACTATTCTCTTCAATAAATCAATAGAAATTAGTAGTACAATTGTCTTAGCTATCCTGTGCATGTGTGTGTATATATGATTGATTTCTTGATAATGGCCGTTCTTACTGGGGTGAGACGAAATCTCAGTGTTGTTTTAATTTGCATCTCTCAAAAGACCAATGATGTTGAACGTTTTTTCATATATTTATTTGCCATTTTTATTTCTTCATCTGAGAAGTGTGTATTCATCTCAGATGCCCATTTTTGGATTGGGTGTTTGAATTTGTAGGGTCTGATTTTTTTTCAATTTTCTATATGTTCTAGATATAAGTCCTTTTTCTGAGAGATGGTTAGCTAAAATGGTTTCCCACTCTGTGGGTTGTCTTTTCACTCTATTGGTGATTTCTTTTGAAGTATGAAAGCTTTTTAATAGCATAAGATCCCAGGTGTTGATTCTTTGAATTCTTTCCCATGCAGTTTGGGTTTTGTTCATGAAAACTGTGCCTACCCCTATGTCTTTAAGATTCTGACCTACTTTATCTTCCAGAATATTTAGTGTTTCTGCTTTAATATTTAAATTTTTTAATCTATTTTGACTTTAGTGCATGGGGATAGACATGGATCTAGTTTTAGTCTTCGGCATGTAGAGAGCCGGTTTTTCCAGCACCATTTATTAAAGAGGCTATCTTTCTTGTAGTGAACATGTTTGGCCCCTTTGTCAAAGATAAGGTCACTGAGTGTGTTTAGCTGTGTCTACATCTTCTAATCTGTTCCACTAGTCTTCTGGTCTATTTTTTTTGCCAGTACTATACTGATTTTATCACTGTAGCTTTGTAATATAATTTCAAGTCAGGGATTGTGATGCCTCCTGGCTTGTCTTTGCTACCCAGGATTGCCTTTACTATTTGTCTTGGTTACTTTTCTCTCATTGTTGGGACAAAATACCTGACACCCAAACTGAAGGAAGGAAAGGTTTATTTAGCTTACAGTTTGTGAAGGTTTCATTCCATACTGGACTGGTTCCAAGGCAGAGTGGCATATGGCAGAGAGCAATGGTTCATGGTGGTGGAACACAGAAAAAAAAAACAAGAGCAAAGGGTAGGAATGGCAGCAAGCAGCCTCTTTCCCTCCTTTATGTTGTGTGCAAACTAAACACTCCCAGGGTGGGTGTAGTGCTCACACCCATACTCCCAGCATTGGATCATGGATCAATCACAAATCCTGGAAGCCCACCCCATGACTGCATGAGGGTTTGGGGGGACATGCAGACACAAGTCATAACACTATTCTAGTCTCTTATGGTTCCAAATGAATTTTAGGAGTATTTTCCCTACTTCTGTGAGGCATACTAATGGTATTTTTATTGAGATTGCCTTAAATCTGTATAACAATTTTGGAAGTATGACCATTTTCACTATGTTGCTTCTTCCTATCCATGAACAAGGGGTATCTTTCCATTTTCTGATATCTTCTTCAATCTCCTTTTTCAGAGTACTGTAATTTTCAATATATGAATCTTTTACTTCCTTTGTTAGATTGATTCCTAAGTATTTCATTTTTTTGGATGCTATTGTGAAGGGTGTGGTTTCCCTAATTTCTCTCTCAATAAGTTTGTTGTTTGTGTGCGAGATTGCTATTGATTTTCGAGTATTGACTTTGTATCCAGCTATGCTACTGAATTTGGTTATTAAATCTGTAAGCCTTTTGGTGGAGTTTTTGGGGTCTTCCATGTAGAGTATCATGTCATCTGCAAATAATGATAATTTAATTTCTTCCTTTCATATCCTTATTCCTTTTATTTCTCTCTCTTTTCTAATTGCTCTGGCTAATGTTTCCAGAACTATGTTGAAAAAGGTGTGATGATAGTGGATATCC